ACTAGCATTACCAATTCTTTTGACACATATTTGTTACATATCTATTACAATAAAGCACTGCTGAGATATGGAAGTGCAAAAAGCATTACCCATGTCTTGTCACAACCCATAAGATACAGAAATTGCATGTATAATTTTTTCCTCAGAACCTACTTTTAGAAGTTTCTTAATGGAAATAGAATAAAATCCTAATTTTTATTCTATTTCACCTATAGTAGTTTCTCTTCTTGACTTCCTTTATTCTCTGCAATATATTTAAAATAAGAGTTTTTACATAATACTATGTTTCATAATTCAACTTCAAGGAAGCTTGGCTTTTTCATCTGCAAAATGGATGTTATAACTTCACAAAGTTGTGATTAGAATTAAGTGTTATATTGGTAAAGTTAAGTGTAATGTACACTCAGTACCTGAAACACAGTCACCACTCAACAAATTGCATCTATAGCTAACATTATTGTTATATTAATGACTCTGCATTCTTCTCACCCAAGCTTGAAAACATTTCCTTTATCCTTCCCACTCACATAAGATCAATGATCAAATTCTGTTGGCTCTAACTTGAAAAATGTTCCTTATAATTATCTTCTCCTTTCCATTTCTACTGCCACACAATGTGTTGGACAACCAGATAATTCTTCCTGAAACATGCTTCTCTGCTCCCTTGTTTTAAAGACAGAAACAAACAAGTAACTTACCTCAGTGCCTCCCTAATATCCACCAAACAGCATGAATGCTGCTGTTCAAAGCCCTCCCAATCACACTTTTCTAATATCACTTTCACTGTGCCCAACGAGATGCCTGGTACTTCTGTCAAATTCACAATGCTGTCCTCCAGATCCAATTCATCTCTTATGTTAACCTCAAAGCCGCCTTCTATTCACTCTAACAATTCCTTCTCTCATCTCTTACAGGACTTCTAGGGCATGGTATCACTTCTATAGCATTTATATGAAATATAAACATATATTTTGAAATATATATATTGAAATATATTTGGACAACACTATAGAGTAATGGTTAAAAGTGTAGGTGTTGAGGTTAGACAGTCATGGTGATTAAATTAACAAAGCACCTTGAATACAATACCTAACCACAGTAAACACTCAATAAATATTAACTATTCTTAGTGATATTATGTTGTACATTCTTATTTCCCTACTAACATATTTCTAGATGACAATGATCTGGTATTAATGGTACCTTTTTCAATACTTTAACTGGCAAGCTTTTATTAGGTTTGCAGTTAGAGGCTTCTGACTTCTTATAGGCTCTAGGTTGACTTCTTTTCAAGCTTTTATTAGGTTTGCAGTTAGAGGCTTCTGACTTCTTATAGGCTCTAGGTTGACTTCTTTTCAAGCTTTTATTAGGTTTGCAGTTAGAGGCTTCTGACTTCTTATAGGCTCTAGGTTGACTTCTTTTCATGCTTTAAGATGTGCTAATTTCATCATTGTGAGAGATATGCTAACACACTAACTGTGATTGAAATGTGATTTGAGTGTATAGTTTTGTGCTCAAGTTTTGATTAGTGTGGATGAAAAAAACAGTTTACAAGTCAGGGTATGTATATGAATAAAACAATTGTTATTAGGTAATACGACATTGTAATTACAATTAATACTCCCTATTGCATGCACAATATGTGCCAAGTACCCTGTTAAAAATTGCTTTGAAATGCTTTCATAAGTGCCTCTTATCTTGCCAAACTTGTTGAGCCATGTCAAACGGTTGATGTCATTAACGATTATGACACAAACATGTCATTAACGATTGATGAAAAGAATAACATTTTATTTTAGGATCCCAAAGCACTTGAAAAGGCTGCCTTCTATTTTGCAGATTGGCTACACTGAGGTTTGCAGTGGTTCATTGTGTTTCCTTTGGCTATACTGCCATCCAGGAAGAGGTCTGGTTACACAGCAGAATATTTTATATTTCAAAATATGCTGGGCTTTTCATAAATAATTGTCCTGCTATTTTATCTTATGGGCATGGTGACTGTGTACCCAGTCAGATTTTCCCTCTTGCCTTGCCTAATTAAAAGATTAGAGGCAAGCTCATGGTCCATCTGGAGCTGTAGTATTCGACGTTAGCTAGGAGATTTTTTTTACTGGCTTTTGTCTTGATTACATTTTATTTATTTTATTCTTTCCTACCCATTTTCAATTTGAGTCATCTTGTTCAAATTTGTATCCTTTTAAGGACTTTAAGTCTCTTTTCAAACTAGACAGGTAACATGTGCATAACGAATTTTTTACACTGTTCACACACTTCCATTAGACTGAGGCAGGCTGGACAGCTGAAACACCAGGCCTTTGGAGGGAGACACACTTAGGTTTGAACTCCAGCTTTGACATTTAGTAACTGTGGACCTTGGACAAGTTATTTAACCTGAGTTGCCTCTCTGTAAAATGGAAATAATAATCCGTAACTCACAGAGATGTCTTGAGAATTAAATAAAGTAACTCATGTAAATTACTTGGTGCATAGTAGGCACTCAATAAATGTCAGTTTACTCCTTCTCCCAGTTAATAATGCTTATTAGACTATATTAAAAACTAGAACCAGGCTGTGATAATGCATTTCTTTATTAAGTATTTAAGCCAAATAACTAATTTCCCCCAGGAGGAAGAGAGAGAAATGTTGAATTAGTTTCATTTGGTGAACTTATTTATTAATCTTTTATTCTTCAGCATTATTTAGTTTCATAGTTCATAATGTAGTTTTCATGTGACAAAAATGACACAGTTTGGTATTTCTATTTTAACTCTACTGCGATAGAATCGGGTTTTTAAAAATTACCTATTATTACATCTGCCATTTATTAGAGATCATTATTAATTGTATTAACCACTCGATTGCGTTTCATAACTACTTCGTGCTGACAAACTTTTGCTCTCAACAGTTTCCCTGAAGTGTAAGGATTGAGAAGAATCAAGTTTTAAATGACAATGTCACAGCAAAAGAACACCAAGGGGTGGGGCTGGGGTACTCACAGCGTCTGGGTTCTTTCCTGTTAATTTTATGCACATGCATTTCAGTGTAGCCACGATTTCCTCAAAGGCGCAACCTAAGAAAAGCAGGCAAGAAAAATGGAAACTGTCTAATTGAGCTGGGACTCAGGTACCATTGCACCTTTAAGGACTGGAGACTTGGTATTAGCTCGGCCTCCTTCCCAGCCCACCTCTGAACTCTGATTGACAGGGCGCCGGGCGAGGAGGAGCTGAAGGAGGCCGAGGAGGAGGCGAAATGGGGAAAGTAAGGGGAGGAGGGGCCGTTTTTTCTTTGCTGGCCAATCAGGGAAGGGGGCGGGGCTCTGGGCGCTCTACTCCCTCCTTCTTCCCCCCGCCTCCCGGCTTCTCCGCCCCCTCCCCTCTTCCCTCTGCCCCCTCCCCTCTCCTCCTTCTTGTCCTCCTCCTCCTCCTCCTCCTCCTTCTCCTCCTCCTCCTCCTCTCAGGCTGTGGTTTTCTGTATATGTTTCTGGAGTCCTGAGCCTGAGCTAAACAAAAGCAGGAGGTTGACGGGGCTGCTGGAGTTTGCAGAGACACGGAGGAGGAGAGAGCCTGTGCTTTGCCTGCCGCCGCGGCTGGGGGAGATCTGGCTTTGGCAACAGCCCACCCCCTTTGAGATCACTCTGGCCCGGAGTGGGGGTGGGGGGCCGCGGGGGGT